ACTTAGTAGCCTATGTGTTCTTCCAGGCTTTGTTATAATATAAGCCAAATTTCAACGAGATCCATCCATCCATCTAAACATTGACGTTTATAATATTAGTAAGATAGTTTTATACTTGCGCTTTTCTCTGGTAGTCTAGTATCAATGTTCGTGTGAAATAAACAGTGGACGAATAAGGTATAACGGGTAACCAGGCAATAAAGTTCAATGCTTCACTTTCTGACATACCAACAGCTCTCAGTGTAACCTGGCATAATGCGGAAGTAAATAAAGGTTCGTATACACGACGACCAAACATTTTTAGTTAGTAAGCCAGTCTACCCCTACTTAATAATAATGGCTTAATAATTACTAGTAGTCGTCTATGGGTCTTAATTCTGCTATAATTTATGATCAAAATTTTCTTTTATTTTTGATTAAAAAAACTTTATGCAATTCTTCTCCACATTTATTATACTTTCTCCGTCAAATTTCACGTTTATCCGTTTCCGCAATTTCCTTTAAACACGTACAAAGTGTTTGCTTAGCACATTTACATAATGATTATTTAAATATATTAATAGATGTTAGAACACAAGTTTACTAAGTAACGTTTAATTTTAATTTAGCACTTTATTGAAATATATTCGAATTCGCTTAACATAAAATGTATTAACACCAATGTAGACGTATCTTAATGTGCTAACGAGCATTTCGCCATTCAAATACTTCTAACTCTTGATCAATTTCTAATCATCTAGTTAACAGAGCTTGTGAAAATTTTGATCATATTGGCATTAGCGAAAATACCACCACCAAAGGCCGGCAACGCATCTATACTTCCTCTGGTATTCTGACTGGTATGGGCGTCTTTAAACACCTCGGTGTTCCCGCTGCTCGTTTGCCCCCATTTGTTATAAAAAAAAATACAAAGATAGATATATAAGCATGAGTTGGCAAATCAGGCAGAGAAAATTGTTGTTCCATACGTGCCAAATCTAATGCTCTATTTACTGAGAAGTTTAAAGCGTTCTAACATCAACCAGACTAAAATTTTGATGTCTGGAAAGTACGGTGAAACATTTGTAGAATATAGAAGTAGCTTTTCTGTTGGATCAATTTGCTAGGGGCATTGCTGTGCTCGCTTAAAACAAACAATACAAAAAAGAATGCGTAAAGTAGTATGTGATCCAATTTATTCTTTTATTATAATAATGATAAGCGAAAACTGCGAGACTTCCGGTGTGCCAGATTGGCACAAGTGGAACTAATTTGGAATGGCGTCACTACAACCTTGCCAGTATGTAATATAGAGTGGCTATAAATTCAACAAAAATGTATAAAATAACTAGCTTTCGCTCGTGACAACGTCTGCGCAGAATTAAAAAAAAACTTAATTAGTAGGCTATGTGTTCTTCCAGACTGTGTTCTACATCTATGCTGAATTTCAGCAAGATTACTGGAGCTGTTTTGGAGATACCTTCAAACATCCATCCATCCATCCATACATCTAAACATTCGCATTCGTATTAGTAAGATTATTAATAATTATTATCATTAAAAATTTTCTCTCCATATCCCATACTCGTAGGTTAAGGCACTAGGTTTTAGTCATCCACATCTGTCTAAAATTTAAACAAAACTTTTTTTATCGTACCACTTTGGCGTAGTCACGCTTCTTGGGTTGGCTCTAAGCTTTTCAGTGTCGAAATATACGAGCTGATGAGTTATCGTTTTCAACGGATCACATCTAATATAGACATAAATATTTTTTACATAACCAAGAGTTTTCATTACTGGAACATCGGTAAAAAACAGCTTGTTATCTCACCTATTTCAAGGAGGATGAGAGGGATGACATGCAGTGGAAACCCATGGTAATAATGTTAATAAAAATTCCCTACAATGTCCATAAAAATTGGACACGCTTGGTAACCGTAAGCTACCACTAACGAATGTTATTTTAAAAAGTTAGAAGTAGAAATAAAACATAAGGTTTAACATAACATTTTCTACACTAAGTACGACGAAATAAAATTAAAATACAGTTTTAACTTCTAAGGCATTTTAGCTGCCGACATTTTGTGAAATCCATTCTTATTTAATATGAAAATATGAAATGTGGCAAGGCAGTGCAGATAGATATTAGTAGCAAGTATTCCCGTCTCATAGTAACAAGGGAACAAAGTCTTGGTCGGGCGCCAATCAGCGCGGCCCACGAGGGGCGGAAACTTTGAGCGATTCAATTAAACTTGAGCCCGCCCTTGTCTGATGACTCCGTGGAGGGACTCTGCTACGTAACGAGATCATATAGGGCCGGCCCTATTTATTTTTCTATAAATCAAATAATAAATAACAAACAATAAAGAGGAAAGATTTTTATTTTTATATGTGACGAATAAACTCAAAAAACTGGTCAGATTTCAAAATTCTTTTGCCATTAGAAAGCTACATTATCACTGAGTAACATAGGCTTCGTTTATTCAGTCGCGGTCAGACAAAATCTAGTCATTAAAAGCAAAAGAATAAGGATCAATAGACCATCGGATGTTATACAACTGTCCCTAATAAGTAACCTATTATATACAACATTAAATATTAGTTTCCTCTGCCGAAACATCTGTACAAGATTAAAAAATTACCCTTGTTTTTTGAAATTGGAATGACAGTGTTAGCACAAGTTTCATCAGTTGAAAACTCACGATAAGGAACAAAGATAGTGATAACAAAGAGTAACCAAGTAATACTCATCAAAAACGTATAAATTGGGTTTAAAAAGTTTCTTATGTGGCAACCCTGCGTCTTAAACCGGCACATCTAACCCCCTAAAAGCGGAGCGTCAAGTGCGACTCTCGTAACCGCTAAGCCCAACCTGTGACGTTATCTCACCCCACTTAAGGTTCCCCAATGTTCCTCTCACCCTACTACACTCCCTACAAATATAATTCGAGACACTCGGAAATTTAAGCTAAAATATTTTGAACTTTATCGTCATTAGATAAGATGTATTGACTGTTGATCTTACGCAAAACGGAATTTGCAATAATAATCGAGGGATTCGCTGTTAGGTAACGATAGCTTTCGCTGGTATGATCTGAAGCAAATGATTTAAAGTTGCTTTAGTTGTTCACTAATATATAAAAAAAAGACTAAAAATATTATTTATATAAAGCTAAATATATTTCGAAAGTTATGTTATCGAAAATTACAAAAAAAAATATTTGCTGCATATCTAATTACTTTGAATGACAATCACCCTTTATTAATTTAGCAACGCATATGCAATTGCGTATATCTATGGGCAACGGTCACTTCGCTATTTCAGCGATTTCAGGTGGCCGCTCGCTCGTTTGCTACCTTATGACATAAAAAAACCCCTGTAATAACCGCGGTTAAGAAAATAAATAAAACTTAAGTTTTTATTTATCCTCGACAATTACTCTACTGTAGTTGAGCAATGTAATGGATGACAACAGCATGAACTATTCGTAGGACATCAGACTAGTAGATTAATAGTACGAGGGTGGCTGATCCCAGAGGAACGCAGTCTGTCAGGGTCCGTTATCGTACCGACGCAGTTGTGCCGTCTTAACAGACTCTCTTTGCTACGAATACTCACACATCTCATCTCAATAAGTACAACAACTTATGCTAAAAAGACTTTTAAACTCACTGTTGTTTTTGTAATGTTATCTGTTTTATACGGGAACATTTATTTTTCGTTTCAATTTAAATATCAATTTTCGGACTAGCGAGACTACTGCAAAGCTTATTACCAAACCACAGCAACTATTGGGAGAGGAAGATAAACATTTTAATGAACTCTATTTACGCACAACAAAATATGAAATAATAAATTCGAATGACAGATTTCCCAAAAGGGGATTCTATTTAAAAACCGCATGCTAAACCATTGCTAGTGTATAAAAAGCGTAAACGGTTGTGAAAATGCGAAATATTCAAATGAAATTTTATTTAAACACAAACTCATAAAGTATGATTTCGCCCAACACTTTTGACGTTTAAATACTCCGGATGACACAATACGTTGGCGGGAAAAATTGTAAAACGTCGACAGCACTGAGCGGCGTGATAACGTTGTCAAGCTTTGTGGGTGTAGTCTAGGGTTGGCCAATAATTGCTAAGTTATTGAAATAATATAAGTCATTTTATTAAAAAAATATTAGACGTGTATTAAATACGTATGTAACATGTAAGTATGTTATTATAATTTTCTTCTACATGTATAATTAATGTTTGAGGATAAAAACAAATTGTTGAAAAAGGCAACTTATGTTATAATTCTTTTAAGTATTTTATATTGCAATTAAAATTATTTTATCTTCTGTGCCTAAGTACTGGCATATTTTCTACTGCAAATCAAGGAATTGACAAAAGCGCAAAGTAAGGGTGGATTTCCTTAGGGTGTATGACAAGCGGGCGGGACCGCGGACGAGAGCGAAAGCGTGCCCGTGGTCCCGTCCCGATGCGTTGGAGGAACAGAGGGGTTTAGTGGGTATACCTCCGCTATGGAGGAGAATCCCACATAACTACCGCGTCCCCCCCGGGGCGCGGAGTATGCATAAAGCATTCCCCTCTGAAAAAAAAAGGGTGTATGACAAAAGCGTATTCTGTATAAGGCAGCCCTATTATTTAGAGCCTGTGCCTGCCTGATGTTGAATGGAAAAATTAAAAAAAAATATATAGAAGCCGTATTGGCCCCACAAGTTCAATTAACTCTAGAGCCGGGATTGCGGCTTCGCATTGTGACAGTCTCAATTCAATCGTAATTACTTTACCCTTTCGTTTTACACACGAGTTCATCCTTTTTATTTTTTAATTTATAGGTACATCAAATCAGAACACAGAATAATAATAATGATAGATGTCCTATCATTTAATATTTTATGACAATACAATGCGGCATAATTCGCTCCTCTAAAGTATTGCCATATTTCCCAACCAAGACCAATAAATAAGCTTTGGAGATTTTACTTATTTGCCCTCTAGCGCCAAAGCTAAACAACTTTACAATACTCCTTTACTCTTTGTATTGTACTCTTTGGTAGAAGTAAAGGACCAGAGGACTAGAGCTAGAGTAAGTAATTTTAATTTTTAACCAAATATTGCGTTGTAATAAACTGTCTGAATAATCATTTTTGTCCAATTGTTTATTAAAAGTAAAGTAAAAACATAATTTTTCTTTTTCTTATCACATCACTATGGATAGTCATGTTTGAAGACAAAATCAATAATTGTCAATGTCAAATGTCATCTAAAGGATTTGATAAGAAAAAACTCAAAATAGCCGATTGGTAAAAGAATCTATTGCATTGTATTATAGTTTTCTTTCTAATTGTAATTTAAATGCGAAATTAACAAAATTGCCGAAATGCTATAACTTAATTAGTGGCCTAATTTAGTCCTCTTTCCCTTCCCACCCTTTTTCTCATAAGGAAAGGATGGGAAGTGGAAGTGGATTTTCCGGATGAGAGGATGCATGGATGCATGCATTCATTCTGTGCATCCTCTCCTCCGTTGATTAAAGGTAGGCAACGCATATGCAATTGCGTATGTCTATGGCACCGGTCACTTCGCTATTCAGCGATTTCAGGAGGCCGCTCGCTCGTTTGCCACTTTATGATGTAAAAAAAAAGACATTTATCTAATAATTTTAGTTATTCAAAAAATTTTATATTTCTATAAAAATAAAACCAGTACCTTTTCAGACCGGTGAATGTTAAAGAATTGCTATTTATTAAAAATGAATGAGAATAGACAAACAAATCAAACAAACATATTTAATAATGCAAAGGAAATAGTCAAAGATATAGGGAGTGCTGCATTTACTGTAAGTTTTATCTATTTGCAGAAATAAGGGTAACATTCTTATATGTATTTCTTTGTTACAAATTCATAAATATAATTAAAGATGGTTAGTTAATATTTAATCTTTTCATAGGTTGATGCTAAAACACAAACACCAAATATACTAAAAGATAATGATAGATTTAGATTAAAAATACCTCTAAATTAATAGCTATACACTACTGGCCAAAAGTTTGAGACCATTTTGAAAAATTACAATATTGAATAAAACTCCAAAAGTTAGTGCTCTACAAATTGTTTATTTACATATTAAATAGGGAACTTTTATGTAACATAAAATAATTTAAAAACTACAATAATTGCCATTATTATTAATAAAAAATATATATTATTTAAACTAACTTTTCGTCGAAAAATCTTCCCTTACTTTTTATAACTTTTTTGACCAATCTTGGTAACCGGGCTATTAGTTTATTGATAGTTTCTTGTGAAACATTGTTCCAACTTTCATGTAAAGTCCTCCAGAGGTCTTCTTTTGACGTTGGACAATGACTATGGATGTTTCTGTCCATCTCCTCCCACAGAAGCTCTATCGGATTGAGATCTGGACTCTGAGGGGGCCACTCCATGTTTTTCAAAACTCCTTCCGTCTCTTTGTACTCTAAATATCCCCTGCATAGTTTAGAACTATGTTTTGGATCATTATCTTGTTGGAAAATGAATCCATCTCCAATCAAACGTAGTCTGGAAGGAACAGCGTTTCGCTCCAGTATCTCTTTGTACTGCTCCTTTTTCATTATTTCTTCAATTTTAACCAAATCTCCGGTCCCATAGCCAGAGAAACATCACCAGACCATAATAGAGCCTCCACCATGTTTGACTGTTGGCACTACACAGTCTGGCAACATCTTTTCTTTGGCACTACGACGTACAAAAACTCTTCTTTTCGAACTTTTTGAATTTTGATTCATCAGTTCAAAGAACTTTTTTAAAGTATTCTTCAGTCCAATAGCGATGAGTAAGAGCCCAGTGCAGACGTTTCTTTTTGTTTTGTTGTCGTAACAGTGGTTTACGAACGGCTACGCTACCAAACAAATTGGCATCTCGAAGTCTTCTCTTTACTGTTGTCAATAATCCAAGTTCCGGTGGAGTTTTATTGAGTTCAGGTCGAATTTCTGGTGTTGTTAAACGTCTATTACGCTTGCTTGTTACAACAATGAAGTTGTCTTCGCTAGAAGTGGTTGCTCTCGGCCTCCCCGAGCGCGGTAGGTCTTGATGACTGCTGGTTATCTTGTATCGAGTTATTGCGTTATGAACACAAGTCTTCGATAACTTCAGTTGAGCGGCAATTTCTCGTTCAGACATGCCTTTGTCGTATAGATTAACGACGGCGGAACGAGTTTCACTGGAGATTTCACGGACTTTTCCCATTTTTGGAGATCTTCACTTGGCAAAACAGTAGCTCAGACTGAATAGATTTAACCAAGACTAACTCCTTAAGTAGCCATGCTATGAATAGGATTTATGGCTTAAAATATTCCTAAATATTTATCAACGCAAAACAATAACCAAACAAGTACAAGGGAGCCGCCATATAATATAATGACAATTGCAACACTTGGTCCTTACGCGGCACTCATCTGTGGTAAATAAACAATGCCCATTTATGGCATAGTCATTGTGTAAAAGATAAGAGAAATGGTGTTTAGACATTCGAAATGATTAATAGAGATTACACAGGTGTTCATATTTTTATGTTATCATACGCAGATTTAAAATATATGCAATAAATATGCAAATTATAACCTGTGTACAAAGTGGTCTCAAACTTTTGGCCGACAGTGTACATATATAGTTGGCATATAAATTATTCAAGAGTATAATCTATTTTTTAACCAAATAGTATCCATACATTACATACATTCAGGCATTCTGGAATTACATGATAAAAAATAACCATACATCCAACCATCCAAAATTTCATATTTATAAAATTAATCCATAAAACTGTAATTTTCAGGTAATCAATGTTTTTTTCTTTATAACGCCGCTGACAGCATTTGTGTGTTATTTTATGTACAAAGTGTTTATAGTACCACCTAAATTACCAGAAATTGATATGAATGAATACTGGGGTCCAAACCCAAATGATCTTACACCAGATTTGGAAATAACACCTTTTAAAATTGAGTTCTCGGATGTAGTAAGTACACTTGTTATCAATGTATTAAAACATTTTTCTTAGCAATATAAGCATAGCTAGCCGTCGCCCATGACTGTCTGCTTAGTATTAAAAAAACTTAAAGTAGCCTATGTGTTCTTCCAGACTATGTTCTACATCTGTGCCAAGTTTCATAAAGATCTGTTATGGCTTCCAGAGATACCTTCAAACAAAGATCCATCCATCTAAACATTCAGATTTATAATATTAGTAAGATTTAAATACTGACAATCTAGGTAAAATTTTATTGATTATCTTATCAGAGTGTCATAGGAAGTTTAATATTTTGTAGGTATTACATGTGAGGAAACTAAACTACCACACTTGACTTAACCTAATATAAGGTTGTCAAAGGACTATTCAGACATAATTTTGTTAATGTTAAAATAATTGAGTTGGTGAAAGATTTTAGAAAGAGCCTGCCTAGGGTTTCCAAAATACAGTTTATAATATTTTTGTAATTAATTTTTAAATCATTTCAGATGATACATGACCTCAGAGAGAGACTCCTCCATTGCAAGTCATCTGCATCACCTCCAGAGCAAACTGGATTTACTTATGGCTTCAACACAAACTTTCTGACAAGAGTACTTGATTTTTGGAAGAATAATTACAACTTCAAAGACAGGGAACAATTCTTTAATAAGTACAAACATTTCAAAACTAAAATCCAAGGCCTGGATATCCACTTCATACATGTTAAGCCAGACGCAAAAGATATTACGGTTTGTCATTTTTTTTTGTAATTAATATAGCCCATGTTACTACTACCTGATAATATATCTTTGTAATGGCAAAAAGAAATTTGAAATTTGTCCAAAAGTTTTCAGTTTATTTGTTACATACAAAAATGCAAATCTTTCTTCTTAATTATTTTAAAAGAGTTATATATTTATTTGCTCTTGTTCATTCATTGTGCAAATTCATTCCAGGTTGTGCCTCTTTTAATGATCCACGGTTGGCCAGGCTCCGTAAGGGAGTTTTATGAAGTAATACCAATATTAACAAAGCCTATGCCCAGAAAAAACTTTGTCTTTGAATTAGTTATCCCAAGTTTGCCTGGATTTGGATTTTCACAAGTAAGTACTGTGTATCTAAAATTTTATATAGGCGTATTCAACATTTATTTCGCTTGGCACAAGACTGTCAAAAGTTCACTAAGCTGACAGCCAACCTGCGTTAAACGGAAAGGCACCTTGAGAGAAAGAGATTTAAAATTAATAAGTGGTTGAGTCCGCAGAAACACCCTTTACCTTTAACATTTCCTGCACCCTGGGCGAGATTTTTTGTTCGGGGAAGACTGAAAGACAGGGTCTCTTGGGAGGCGCTCCTATATCTGTAGCGCCCTCTTATGCCTGCCAGGGCGGTCGCACCATCTGGCCCTACCCTAACGACGCTACTGCTTTACATGATATTCTAATAAGGGAACACATGAAAGGGGAAGTGGATAGGGGGAGGGTGAATATATAGAAAAAGTAAATAACATTTTTCTGTATAACATCTCTGCATTAAAAAGAGGCAAGATATCTGTTATCTTTCAACTCGGAAAAAAGATCACTGTTATTTTCTTGGTACTAAGTAACGGCTTGTTTAACACTTACTGGTATATAAATATATTTTTAATCTGTTTATATTTTTTAGTGATTTGTTGACTGATTATTACTATTGATATTTGTAACACACGTATTGTTTTGTTTCACAAACTGATTTTAATTTACAGGGTGCTTTCCGACCAGGTCTGACCACAACTAAGATGGCCGTAGTGATGTTAAATCTGATGAAGCGACTTGGCTATGGGAAGTTCTATGTACAAGGAGGCGATATCGGTCACTATGTGGGATCGGCCATGGCAACTATGTTCCCCAATTACATACTAGGATTTCATACAAACTTCCCGACTTTGATGTATAATCAGTTGGCTACCCTGTGCATATATATAGGTTAATTAATTTTTATACTAACAATTAAGTTAAGAACACATAAATAAAGGTTTTATTAAACAACTTTCTTGCTGTTTAAAATTTTTTCAGAGCCTACTTTTGACTGAATTTAATATTTATCCATTGATTTACATTATTTTTCCTTTTTAGGTTCAGCTTGGCCACGTATACTCGTGGAAGCGGAGTTTGTGAGCAGGTTGTATCCATATTCTCAACAATTACAAAAGTTGAGAGAGTCTGGATTTTTGCAAGAAGAAGCCACCAAGCCTGATACCATGGGTTAGTAAGAAATTCAAATATATGTGCAATGTCAACCTGCTCTGGGCCAGCATGGTTAACTATGGCCTAGTCGCCCCTAACTTTAGGGTAGGCTCCGAGCCCCTCAGTGGCGAAGTTAATTGTAAATGTTTGGATGTATGGATAGATGTTTGGTAGAAAATATCTCCGGAACATATCAACGGATCTTGATGAAATTTGGCATGGATATAAAACATAGTCTGAAAGAACGCATAGGCTAATACAAAAGACGGGGTCGAGATCGACAGTTATTTAAGTAAAAAATTGTACACTTCTTATAATTTTTTTTTATTACATGTGCTATTATTTATCTCCAGCTGCGGCATTATCTGATTCTCCGGCTGGTCTTGCGGCATACATCTTAGAAAAATTCGCTGCCTGGACCAACCCAGAGTACAAGAATGCAGGGGACGGGAAGTTGCTCGACAAGTTCTCACTGACAAGTTTGTTGGACAATGTGATGGTGTACTGGGTGACCAACAGTGTTACAACCTCGCTCAGAGCGTATGCTGAAATTGTGATTGATTATGAAACCCATACGAAATTTGATGAGTAAGTATGCTATATATTCTATTTGTATGAATTTCTCAGTCAAATATGTTTTGAGTCCTTGTTTCTATTTAAATTCTGTCTGAATTCTAAACCACGCTGACCCAGTGCGGTTTGATTTCACGCATATATTTGAATTTCTTCACAGATATGTGCAAGTTGTATCACAATGTTTTCCTACACTATAAGAATGTCCGATAAATGTACATATGTAAATCGAAAAACACATTGGTACATGTTTGAATTCGAACCCAGGATTTGCTGATTACAAGTCAAATGCTTAACCACTGAGCCATCAACGCTCTAAACACATATATACAATCTAACTAATATTATAAATGCGATTTTATTGCATGGATTGATGTTTCTTAGAAGGCATCTCCAGAACGGCTGTATTTCGCTGAAATTTAGCATAGATGCAGAACATTGTCTGGAAGAACACATAGGTTAAGATTTTTTTAATTCTAGCTACTAATACATATAAATTTTCACAGGATAACAACAAAGGTGCCTACTTGGGGTATAAAGTTTAAACATGATCTGTTATTCCACCCCGACTTACTACTAACTTTGAAGTATAGAAACTATCATGTTAGCACCGTAGTGGACGATGGCGGACATTTCGCTGCATTCGAGAACCCAACCATCATGGGAAAGGATATATACAGTGCTGTTGCTACATTCAGACGATTTCAACAACATGTGTAAGTGTTATATACATAGTAAAGTTGGTCAGAATTAAAAAAATAAATAGCCTATGTCACTCCCACCTACATTAGTTACCTTCCAGTGAAAGTTTTATCAAAATCGGTCCAACTGTTTCATCTCTTACCCGGAACAAACTCAGACATACAAACAAAATCTTTAAACATTCTGTTTTCATTTTAAACAATACCCTGACATTACATACCAACATTTCAATTTTGATAATTAAATATCTCATCAGCTCACTATACTGGCTCGGAGCCTACCCTAGGTCACGGGTGACTAGGCCTTAGTCAACCACGCTGGCCCAGTGCGGGTTGACATCACACATATCATTGAATTTCTTCGCAGATATGTGCAGCATCACGATGTTTCCTTCACCGTAAGAACGTCGGATTAATGTATATATGTAAATCGGAAATCAAAAAGCATATTTGTACATGGCGGGATTCGAACTTAGGACCTGCAAATTGCAAGTCAAGTGTTTTACCCCTGAGCCACCGATGCTCATAATTAAATTTAGATAATTGTTTAGTTTTTGTATATTTTTCCTTTACCAAAACATCAATAAAACAAACATTTTGAAGACAGGCGTGAAGTGGAAGAAATTCCGCGTTTCTTGTGATGAGTGTGCGTCCCGGAGGCCTCATTTAGTCCTCTTTCCCTTCCCATCCTTTTTCTTATAAGGAAAGGATGGGAAGCGGAAGTGAACTTTCCGGAAGAGGGGATACATGGGAGGAGAAAATATTTTCTTTCTCTGCATCCTCTCCTCCGTTGATTCAAGGTAGGCAACGCATATGCAATTGTGTATGTCTATGGGCTACGGTCACTTCGTTATTTCAGCATTTCAAGTGGCCGCTCGCTCGTTTACCACCTTATGATATAAAAAAATATATATATTGCTGATTAGTAGATTTTCATGACTTACTTGGACATTGTGAATCGTTAAAATCCGTTTTTTTATTTACAGCGATGTACCAACGGACTATATTAACTATGAAACAGCAACATCGGTACATGAATTCACAGTCAAAGATATCTACGGAGAAACTGTCAAACTTGATAAATATAAAGGATATGTGCTTGTTATTGTAAATATCGCGTCACAATGCGGTCTCACTGATACTAATTATAAACAACTCAACGAATTACATGAAAAATATGCAACAACTAAAAATTTAAGAATATTGGCATTCCCTTGCAATCAATTTGGCAAACAGGAACCCGGTACCAGCAAAGATATTCTTAATTTTGCTAAAGAAAAAGATGTTAAATTCGATTTATTTGAAAAAATCGAAGTGAACGGCCCCAATGCTCATCCATTGTATAAATTCTTAAAGAAAATGCAAGCTGGTACATTCGGAGATTACATTAAATGGAATTTTAGTAAATTTATCATTGATAAAAATGGTGTACCCGTTGAAAGATTGGGTCCTAATGTTTATCCTTTAGATATGGAGCCTTTGTTGGCTAAATACTGGTAAATAACTGGCTAAATATACGTCAACATGTTTCTATAGATATTAACATAAATATTAAATATAGTCAAAGCTTGGCACGCGAGAACTGGACCCCTCCATGAGCGAGAAATTTAGTTTTGGTACCAACAGATTCCATACATGAGCGAGAAATTTGGATTTGGTACCAACAGACTCCCTACATGAGCGAGAAATTTGGGTTTGGAACAGACTCCATAAGCAAGAAAATCTGATTCGAGAGATACCTCTACAAGCGAGAAAAAATATCAGTCCCTTGGAATGTTGCTGTATTAATATTTATGTTTTAATATCTTTATGTAATTAAATAAGATTTACTGATATTATATATGTATTAGAAAGTGCATGTTAAAAACATAAAAAAAATAGCTTTTAACCATGTCTTTCCACTCAAGAAACATATTCAAATATATATAATCAAAATTTGATGATATTGATTCGGTAATGAAAATCCACGGTAAAAATCTTTATTATTGTTAGGAAATAAAGAAAGTCCGCAAAGTTTGTGGATGATGTAACGTTTTGGATTTTTATCTCTCGCTTGCTCACTCGTTTAACACGCGGTGTCAACCCGTTGATTACGCGGCGTTCACCCGTTGAGTGATTTTAAAAGTATACTTATTATTCTAGGTGTTTTATATGTCGACAATGAAATATCTTGTCATCTCTTCAAATAAATTAGGCAAATAAGTGTAATTTTTGTCTATGGTCCTTATTTATTTTTAGTGACATTATCTCTAAATTTGATATCTTTTTTTTAATCTCATATAATTTTTAAGCCTTTTTTATTCGCATTTATTTAGTTGTATGTTATTTGTTGGCTGTGTTGTTACATTTTTATAAAATAAGTTTGATAATAATTTTGTATGAAATTCATTATCGTAAGATTTTGTGTTCATTGCCATATTTACCATGTGTTTCCGAGACTAACATCTCTGTTTAAAAAACATTATCTGTTTTGTCCAAGATAATAACAGGGATGATAATGTTTTATATAGATTTTAGTCTCGGAATCCAACGGTTAGTGGCTTTTTAGTATTATTTATTTATGAATGTTATGTTAACAAAAAATATTTGTCTACCAAATTTACAGTGGGTCTCCATTGCTAAAACATTCATACATCTTATCGACATTTTTATTAAAATATTGTCTATGATAAATATGAAAGATCACAATATGATGTTTCAACAGTAGAAACCCACAGTAAAAAGTTTATATATATTTTTTGTCAGTGAATACTCAACTTAATTATAAATATAATAATAAACGTTTCAGTAGAATAACATTTAATTAGTATCAATTTAATTCAACAAGTCTGTCTCTCGAGTCTCAGCTTGGAGAGATTCTGTATTGTGTTTCTCGAGCTCGACTCACTCCATTGCAGCTCCGGAATGGCCATTATCAGCTGTTTTATACAATGCCATATTAATTGTATGTTAAGAAGCAACACAATTCAATCTATTACTAACAGTTAAAGAAATTGAAAATCTTACTAATATTTTAAATAACAATATTTGGGTGGATGTTTGTTAGAAAGTAACTCGGAAACTGCTGCATGATTCTCGATGAAATTTGGCAAGAATGTAGAACATAGACTGGAAGAACACATAGAGTACTAATTAAGTTTTTTTTAATTCCATGCGGGAGTCAACTAGTAATAAAGGTAGCCTACGTCATCTGCATAGTGTGGCTTCCCAACAGGGCAAGAATTTTTTAAATCAGTTCAGTAGTTTCAAACCTATTCAATGCAAACAATCAATCAAATCTTTCCTCTTTATAATATTAGTTTAAATAATAAGCCATCAAAAGAATATGAAGGGGACTATAACTCATTGGACAAAACCAACATTAATTTTATTCAACACCTGTCTTCTGCAGTCGTAGTATTCTACCACTTGAATCATATACTTGAAGTAATGATGTTCGAACAAAAGAAAATTCTACCATTTTATTATTTAAGTAGTGATTATTTAAAACTGTCACATACTGTTTTTTCGGACTGATTATTACCATATCTATTTTTGAATTATTACTATCAAATCTATAGAATTAAAACAACAAAAAGTTCTAAAATACAACTACTATAAAGAAATCTATTAATATTTTTCAAAATCATATACATACTTACGTTAGATTTTACTAATAATATTTGGATTCTTCGGATAAAATTTTTGTTTCTTCTGCAAAATCTTCATATAATTTTAAGGATTCCGTACCTCGCAAAGGAAATAAACGGAAGCCTTATAGGATCACTTTGTTGTCAGTCCGTCTGTCAAGCCCTTTTTTTAATTTGATTGAAGAAAATGTCAGTTGTAAGTAAAATACACTCTTAATGAATATTTTTTTATTAAACTTTGAATACTTACTGTAAGATTCTTGAAAAAACCGCACCATAAGTAGTATTTGAAAAAAATTGTATCACAAATACATATGAGAAATCAAATATATAATACATAAAAACAAACTAAAATGTGTTACATATATACTAAATACATATATCAATACATATATTCTACTATTTTTATCCAATACAATACATAAATACAAGTTAAACAAACTGATTTACAATTTACTTCAAATATTACCTAATTACATTTTAAATAAACTTAGGCATGATTGAATTATTTTATATACATCAAGCAAAATTTTGCCGGAATTAATTATTAATATAACACTTTGTTGTATATAAAAATGACTGAGTTTTGATTGCAATTATACTTGTATTGATATGTGGTCCTATTGAAAAACACAGAAACATGTACAAATACAAGTGTAATAACAATCAAAATGCAGAGTAAAACAATCCAACCATACCTTAATGTCTATAATCTTAAGGGATATCTTTAATGACCTCAGACAGCTGTTCCCGGGTGAACATGTGGAACATTGCTCCGGGAGTCATTGTCACCACTTCTACATTGTTCTCTGACAACTTCTCCTCCATAACCTGCTTCAGTATAGTCAATGCAGACTTGATGGCCTCTTTCAAGGTCATTGATTTGTGATAGATTTCCTGGAATCAAAATTCAATTTATAAACAATGTAATATCATACTTTTGGTATTTTAAATTATATTGTTATGTAAAATGTCAAGGTAATTATAATATTATTTTAAATGAGTTACAATCGGACTTGGATAAGCGAGAGGCACAGCAACATTTTTTTCCCTAAAAAGGTTTGACTCTTATGTGGGTCTCTCATCAGGATCAGATAATAACTCTCTTGAAATAGAGGTTTCTAGCTTATCCAGATTTCACTTTATAACATATTTGTATCCAGGGATAAACATTAACAAGTTAAAAATAGATTTGTTGCAGACCAACCATTTATTTGACCTTTTTGGTGCTAAAAGTTGTGGTTGGTGACGGTAGTGAGTGTTTAAACTAATAATAGAGATAGATATAACATTCAAGAATAACAGTCTGTCAGTAGTCAGATGCAACAACCTATCCATCCAGTTTCAATACCTTTGAGCTCTGCTGTGCCCCTTCACTTCCGGAGCCTATAGCTTTAGCATCATATTGCACAAATGTACCACTAGGCATTCAAGAATAACAGTCTGTCAGTAGTCAGATG